AAGCCGGCTCTGGCGGAGGGTAGCTGCGCGCGCCCCCTGGCGGCGCCTCGTGGGATCGACGCGCTGCCTCTGGGTGGGGAAAGAAAAAAAACAAAACAGGAGTTGGGGGTCTCAGAACCACAGCTGGACCTGCTAGGACCAAGTTCGAGCCCACTTGACACGGAGGCAAACAGGGCTTGGTGCCCCTTCGGCCCTCGGGGCGGGGCACAGGGCTCCTCTGCAAACCGGGCGGCTGCACCTCCCAGGGCGGCTTGCAGCTCCAGCTCGGTCCTGCTTGGACCCCGCCGCTGGCTGCCGTTCTGTCCCCCGGAGGCGCTGCAAAGTGCACCTTTCAAAGTGAGGGGTTTTCCTTTCAGAGGTGAGCAACCTCTCCAAACTTCCTCCTGCTGAGCACAAAGCAACACCTCTCTTCTCTCCAACACAAAGTGGGTACAGGCCCCAGGGGCCAGGGCCTGCTTTGTTTTCCACAAGAAAGGGGCGGGGTGAGAACAGCCGGAAGTGATGGAGCGGAAATGATAGAGCCGGAAGTGATTGTTAGAGCGGAGGTGATGAGCAGAAGTGATAGAGGGAAGTATGAAGATCTGCGTGATCTCCCGTGCCCCTGTCCCCTCTGAGAGGTGGACAGGACAAAGGAGATGGCGATTTGAGACAAACAGGTCCTCCGTGTCCTCCAAGCTGGCTTTGAATACATCCTTTCTCCTTCCTGCACACATACATGGCCCGTTTTGATTTGGTCAGCCAAACCTGAAGCACCTGAGTGGCCAGTAACAGTCCCTGTGGCCATACCTGGGCTCAGGCTTCCTTTCCAGGCTCTTACTGTGGGGTGGGGGCCTCATCACTTTGCTTCACGGAGATACGCCCCAGGACCGCAGATGTGCTGACTGCACCTAGGCTGAGATCTGAGAACTGCCCCATCCCTTTCATTTAATCTGAGGAACGGGAGACCCAGGACAGGGGTTCCTGGCTGTGACTTGGGAACAGAAGCTAATCCGGGGTCAGCCTCTTCTCAGCAGGCAGGGGCATGGGGCAGGGAATAGGTCTCACATGCACAGAGAAGAGAGGGCTCAAGAAGCTCCACTCTGCGCAGGCCCAGGGATCTGTGTCACCAGCCCAGGAGTGGGGTTAGGAGAGGCTGGGCAGAGGGCAAAGGTCTTATACCAGTAGTCACTGCAACTTGAGGAGGGAATCCAGATAGAAACCCCAAAGTTATATTTTCTCTAGGTGGCTTTTAGAGTAGGTTCAGCTAACTCACAAACATGATTGAGGCAATGAACAGAAATATGTACATAGGACATCTCATTAAGCAGTTTCTTAATCTAGGGAGATCTTGGCACATGGTCTTTTATACGTGAGCACATTCATTTTAATCATCTTTGTATTCCTTAATAGTAATCAGCATTCACTGCTCTTGAGAGGACTGGCTGAAAGGCAGGGAGTGGACAACAAATCTGAGCAGAAACCAGAAAGAAACAAACAGCAAAGACCAGGCAAATGTTCCAGAGTCCTCATGGACAAGGCCCTTGTTTGATCTAACTCCTCAGAAGTCTGGGCTTTAGAAGCAGACTTGATTGATTAGCAAACCAAGACTGTGCTGGATGCATTGCTGACTTGGGGGTAGTTTGCTTAGCCTTATGATATTCATTTTCCTTCCATCCCTAAAATAAAGAGCTTTTGCCTTAATTCATACTCATGAGATTGTTGCATTAGTTGGGTTAGATAACGCAAGAGTGAACATTTAAAAACAACAAAATTCTATAATAATAGAATTGGGATTATTATTTGAGGGGGCTATGGTAGAGCTGCAGGAGTAAGTCACAGGAACACAGGAAGATGGTGGGTTCAAGGCCAGTAGACTGCCTGTGCTTCTGTCCCCTCATAGACAAGAAATGGAGCTTGGTTTCTATTTTATCCCCACCTCTGGTAGGTAAGAGGCATTACCTGGAATAAGGAATGAAGAATTAGAGAGAGAAGCTGGAATATTACAAAACCTGAAATTCCTTTTTTTAAAAGGCAACGAAAGGAAGCTCTCCAGAAAATTCTTTCATCAGACCCTCTCCTCTGGTGGTAGATTTATTGAACAAATATTTATTGAACACCTACTACCAGGCATGACTCTTTCGAGCCTGTGGGATGCTTCGTAATCTCTGCCATCTGGGAGCCCAGGTTTAGATTTCGGCACTGTCTTCATCCGATGGTTTCTGTATTTCTTCTACCTTTATAGGTGGTATACAGCACTTATTCCAGGGATCAGAGCAAATGTCACTTCTCCTCTCACCAGAATGGCAGAAAAAAAGTCTACATTTCCCATGTTGTATGAGGCAGATGGTGTTCCTGATTCCCGGTGGGATATCCCCTGTGGAGTCAACAGAGCAGGGTGCATATTGAGCTCACACTTCAAAAACAGTAAAGGACAACCTCAGACCAATGCCAATGGTTTGCCATATTCTTAACAAACTCCCCGTCTTTGAACAAGTCCAAGCTACTGAGCTTTGGTTTCTTAGCCTTAAAATAGGAGCAATAATGTGTAGCTCAGTGTCTCCAGAAGGATCAAACAGCAGAGGGACCGTAAGCATGTTGTGTGACAATCACCTGGCTCACTGCAGGCCCTAAGAAAAGGCTCTTCCACCAGGCTTGTCCAGCTGGACACAGGTCAGTAGTTTTATTTCTACAATAAAGTGAAGGAGACAAAACCAGGACTTTGAGGCGTATAAGTCAAGTACAAGCACCTCAAATTCCCATAAGGAAGGCACTTTGGGAAAGAAATAATTGCAAGAAAGATCTTCTTATGTCTGCAAATACTAATTATCATCATTATTAAAAACAACAACTGCCAGGGTTGTGGTTTATGCCTGTAATTCTAGGACTCTAGGAGGCTAAGGCAGGACAATTGCAAATTTGAGCCCAGCCTCGGTGACTTGACTTAGTGAGACTCTGTCTCAAAACAAGAAAAAAACAAAAAAAAAACAAAAAAAAAACCAGAATGGCTGGGAGTACAGCTCAGTGCGTGGGCCTGGCACTTAATCTCCAGTACCTCAAACGACAACATGGTGTTGGTCTTGCTTGATTATAAAAATAGTCCTCGTAATATCCGTTTCAATACCCACACGGAGATTATTCTGTTGTCCTGGGTCACTTCAGCCCCACT